GATTTGGATCAGATTTATCTAAAATCTGATTTGATTTGATCTGTTGCAATCCCTAAGTTCAGTGAAAATACTATCAGATCTCAATCACAAAGTCTGTAGTTCAATACCACTTAAGGATCAAAAATCAAAATTATTCTTCTGATTAGGTTTACTAATTATTCTATGAAAGTTATATCCAATTATTCTGAACCAGTCTAAAACAAGTTAAGCTATATAAAGATGAGACTTCTAGTCTTTCATCAATTAGAAGCTAAGATCTAAGATCATACTACTGGAAAAATTGTATAAAAAAAGGCTTCTGGTCTAACCTCACATAAATATTATAGAAACATTTTATCTTGGTACTCTCTAGGACCCTTATTTTTCTAATCCAGGATATCTCAATCTAATGCTTTGCTTAATTAAAAATCAGTTAATAGGAACTGATTTGATATCACAGGTAATGACAAAGAAGGTAATATGCCTTCTTCTGAAATCTAAATGAATAATATCTAGGAATATTGAAGAATGTTATATATCATGTCAAATATATATAAAAGACTAAGTTTAGTAATTAATATAATAAAACATGTTTAATAGCTCAATACTAAACTAGCCTAATATTACTGTTGATGACTGTGTATTAACTATCCAGCTACTAACTAAATGTGTATACTCTCAAAAGTAGTAGTAGAACTAGCTAGACTAGTTATAATAGATTATCATTAATTTATATATATATAGAAATATATAGTTTATATGAAATAATTGATATATTTGTCATTAATGCTTTGTTAATAAAGTCATCACATCTAATACCAGTCATAGTTTAAAATAAAAAAAAAATAAAATAAAATAAAATAAAATATTATTTCTTGAATTTAATTTGAAGTATTTAATTTAAATTATTATTTTTTTATTAATTCAAATTACTTTAATAAATTTATTGTATTTTTTAAGTAGTATAGCTTCTTCAACTAATAATTTATAACAATGGGTTAACTATTATATGAAAATCTATATAATATTAATAGATGTTTTTAAATTTCAAGAAAAATATGCTATAATAGTATGGTTATAAATTAAAAAAAAAAAAAATTAATAAATTTAATGAATTTTAATAAATTTAATAAATCAATAAATTTAATGATTAATAAATTTTAGCAAAATTAAAACTTTACTAATTAATGAATTTTGATTAATTAAATTAAATAAAATTTGACAAAGTAATGTTAAAGATCAAAGAAGTTCAGGATTTTTGCCGCGGTCACGTGACCGACGATCGTGATACGACCGAAGCTTACGCGAAACAATCAATTGCCGACTATCACCATACTCCTTGCAAGCTAGAAGAATGCGCGAACAATTCATTCGCGTCAAAAAGATAAAAAACTATGAGCTGAGGTAATAGAAAATTAGCTGACCACGAAGTAATTTATGCATGACATAATACTAGAATAGCCATAGTGATTATGTAATAGCCTTATGTGTAAAAAAGGTATAAATGTAACTTCTTCCAATGACTTAATAAAATGACAAATCTTAAGACAAATCTTTTGTTTTGCATGTGTGATAGAAGGACGGACTCTTCTATCCGCAGGTTACGCGAGCTTTTGGTCATTGGCAACAGACTCGCCGATCAGCCTGCTACAAGAATAAAATCAAAAAAAAGTTTGTAAATTAACAAATTTGATAAATTTAAACAAGTTAATAAATTTTGATCCACAAATTAACAAATTTCGACAGAAACAAACCTTTTTAATTGTTATCAAGTTGTTTTATGTCAAATTTTGACGAATGTTGCATGATTGGCATTGGGCGCATATCCTAATTGTAAATGTATACGAGAGGGCAGATGTTACCTACCTAGAATGGCTATCCAAAACATATTGTCAAAATAGATAGGCGTCTTCCATAATCATTATATAATATTAACGAAGTTACTACCCTGGCTATGTATCTAAAAGCACACTTGATCATATACTCAAAAAACATGTCATCAAAGAAATAGGCATCTTCCATAATTATTATTATATAATATCGCCGAAGTTACCTGCCTTGATTACATGAAATCTTCCATAGTCATAGACTTCCTTCTACCCTGATTACATACTCGATATACGGTATGTACGTATATTGAGATGGTCGTTTTACCTGGTAGCTCACCATATACGTATTTCTATACTAAGCATATTTATTTGTATCCTCACTGATAAGCCCGATGCATATTTTTTTTTTCAATGTTACAGTCGCAAAGCAATGGATCTTCGAGCCTACCTACAGAAAAAAATTTTCCAAAAGGGATATATTCTTACCAGAGGGTTGATCCCCCACCACCTACAAATTACTTGTACCGTATCATTTCCGTTTTCTTTTATTACACATTTGTTGTAACATTACCACATACTGTAATACTTTACATGACATTATTGTAATTTACAGTATATTTATAATAGTAATATACTGTATATTCAAAGTGAAGAAAAAATCTTTCGGTGGAATTCAGATTTGAGAACTTTTGATTGCCAATGTGCCACTGGCGGAGCTGAAATGTTACTCTAAATGTAAGTAACAAAGAAAAATTAATTATCGAGTTTGATTAATCAAATATAACAAACGGGTGCAAGTGGAAGATCCAAGAAAAATTCTAGCTCATATCGAAAAAAGATTCGAAGCAAGATACAGTATGTGAATCAGGTACTTCCATAAACACGTTTACTCTCAGTACAGGCTAACACCCAGGCTATATGTGTCATGTCACCTCCCTTATAGCTACAGTATGTCCACGATGGAGTAAAAATAATCCCCGAAAAAGCTGTTTATCCTCCTCTGTAACTGGAATACCAATTTCTTCAGTACTGAAACCTATATGCTAGGAAATCTGATCGCTTAGTTCATGACATTTTTCTAATCAAATGTATGCAAAGCCCGCTATGTGAATGCAAAACGATATATAATTGCGTTAACAATAAAAATGGAACCTCCATAGGCCCTTTATTTCACTGTGAAGCAGGACAGTCACTATATGACTGCCTCCGGCAAAAAGGTTACCAAACGGCACGCAGATAGGAAAAAAATATTTTATCTTTTTATAGAGTCGATATTGTCGAACAATGAAACACCGTTAAATTTTACTTTAAAAACTTTTGCATGAGTTGTCTTTATTCCGCCATACTTCTTCATCTCAACCTTATCTAATTTCAACAGAATAAGTATTGGGCATGCTTTTAGCCGAATGCTTGCTCATGTTAATAAAATATTGCCTTAGCAACTTGCGCTAGCTTCCTATGACCTTGATTTTCGTTAAAACTGTTAATAACGAGTGATGATCCCATTCTCATTATAGTCTTTATGGATCTAATTCGTGCTTTTTTTATCGGGTAACAGTTGTTGGAAATATTCCACTCTGTGTACGCCTTCGGCAAGCGTACAGTAAATCGTATCACAGATTAGATCTGTGAATCAGAGATCAGCATAGAAATTCATTTTTTTAATTATACGTGAATATCTCTAAACATGCCTCACGAAATGAATAAGCGTAAACGAGATCCGAAAAGACAATAAGGAGGGGCAGACCGATTATCTTTAATAGTATGTATATCAAAGGGCTTATGCCTTATGAAGTCGGGATTTCTGCAATCTCTGAGATCGTCTTATGTCATTTCTACCAGCATAATCCACAGTATATACTATGAAAAGCCACTGATCCGTCTAAAAAAATTTTCGCATATTCCTTTACATTATCTAGCTTCCGCATAAACCAGATTCCTTACCCTAAACTCGCACGATGGTGGACATAGTTAGATGGAAGAACTTATCGACTATTTGTGAGACTCGTTGAAACAAACTCAAGATATTTCGCAATGAGAGGAATTCTGGTCGTGCAAATTAACAGATGAAGCATAGGGTTCACATTGGGAACAGCAACCGTTCCTGTAGATTTTATCGATGAGATATCGGAACAAAAATTAAGCTTCTTCTCTACATATAAGACACTGGATGAGCTAAAAGAGGCGGTTCGCAAATATAAAGCTAATGGGGAGGATATTACGTGCATCAAGCAATTCATTCCAGGTAAGTTTTATTTTTATGCGCCGTGATCTGAATATAAGTTAAGTTATTTTGCCAACTTTTTTTTTTATGATATAGTTTTCGAGAAAATTGATGATAACAACGAAGTCCTCAAGCACTATGTGGCGGACATAATACTAATACTAACGAATATTGTGACGATGACCGATGCCAACGAGGTGACTCGTTATGAATTTACCTCGTCCATCCTACACGCGTCGCTTGCCATCGTTCGGAGAATCACCAAGGAAGAAAAACTCTATATATCGTTGCAGCAGGACGTCTCAAGTGAGGAAGCATCTGACCGTGTCGACCACGCAATCAAGAAAAAGAAGACCTCATGTATATCGCTGAAGGTAAACCACGCAGTATTAGGAATGGTTATTTTTCAAAATATTATGCAACTTGAGAGTACAAATAAGAAGAATCATACGGCGGATCAAGCTTTCGGGAAAGATGACTGATTATCTTTACGGGATAGTATCGGCGGGCAAGGGATTTTTATATAAAGTATTTTAATTCTTGGTATCTTGATTTTAACTATTTTTTTACGATGATGTCCGTTATTATGCTAGGCATGGAATGGTGTTTTATCATTTTACTACTGATGGGATTTATTGCACTAGTGAAAGCGAACATTAGATTAATCTTTTGAAAAAGGCGATCAAAGAAAATCCCGATATACTTCGAAGCAACATCATAAACCGGATAATGGAAATTACCGTTGATCTTTTAAAAGATCGTGTAGCAATCGATGACTCTCCCAGCTAGTAAGAGAGCTCGAATCAAAAAAATTACCAAAAAAAAATAGTGGGCAGATAATTTATCCGTCTTGCACGTATTTTACCTTGGTAGCTCACGCTATATTATATAAATAAAGCTAGAATCTGAAAGTAGAACAAGGTTTAACACGTGAGTTATTCTAATTTATTGCCGAAGGCAGAACCAATATGGTGTAGCGCGAGCCTGTCGTTAATGACTCAAGGCTCGCGTTACCCGCGGATAGAGGTGTCTCTTACCTCAAACAAACAAAAACACACAAAAACAAAAGGCAGAGGCGTCACAAGATTTGGGAGAATCTTGGGGTAGTTTCTCTTGAACTATTTGAACAACAAAGGGCTTGTCGTTTTTTATTAATTCATTTGATAATTTTGCTTTGTTTGAATTGTTCGCGCATTCTTCATTCTTCTTCTGAGTAAAGCAACTCGATTGTTTCGCGTAAGCTTTTATCGTGTCGCGATGGTCGAACACGTGACCGTGGCGAGAATCGCGCACTTCGCTTTCTTCGTTTTTCCTATGACAATGGATATTGATTTTACATCTTTACGAGATCTTAACAATACTCGTCCGAATTGCATGTATAACAAACAATTTTCGGAATCCTTGTTGACGTTAATCTAACACCAGGTGCTGTACCTCATTTATTGCGTTGGTATAATTACAGTGAGGAATATGAAAAAAAGGCTATAACTACAATATTGATGACCAAATGGCAAGAACACAAATCCACTATGAAAGATGGGAATAGATAAAATCGTGATGATTTCATATAGTGCCGATGCTATTTCTAGACTAACAGATATTCAAATCCAAAATATAATAAAACTTCTGCACCAATGTACTGGCTCGCCCCAAAATTGATCGGCGTGAACAATTTGTTCACGCGCGCGTAATCTACCAGCGACTGAATCTAAAATCTCCAATGAGTCCGGGTTCGAAAGAATTATCAGAAACTGAGATAGATGTTTCACCTATTAATTAATATGTTGCCAGAAAATAAATTTTATGACCGTGCTTACAGTATTTTTGTAATAAATATTGTTGCGATATTTTTATTTATGCAAATAATTTAGTAGTAAAAAAATTCGGTCATCATGGAATTCCTTCTGTTCATTATGTAAGTTAAAGAAGTGAGAGTCATAAAAGTTTAAATACGAAGCTGACTCTTATTTTAATAAAATCGGAGATCACATAAAGTCATAAAGTTATCGGGCACAAATTTCACTGGTTTCAAATGGTTGAAAATTATCGATTATATTTAATCTTTTTTGGCGCCTTTGGTACTTACTCTGCTAATTACTATTTCGAGATACGCAGAGTGTTGGCATATTAAATATCCTTGTTATCAAGAAACTCTTGAATGTTGCGATCATATAAAACGATAACATGGATAAAGCCGAATATTTGGATGTCATGCAAATTGGTTGATTCGCCAAGTCCTATGATAGATAAAATTTGGTTGAGTTTATATCGAGTGTATACGGGAGAGACTGGACTCGAGTGACAATATAATTTCTGGAGGCAGTCACGCGGTGACGATATCTTACGAGACAGTTCGCCGGAAACTCAGGTAATGGGATCAAACAAAAACCGCCTTTATCAGTATGCAATCGAACATGGAATGAGTCCCAATGAATTCTCAATCATTGCAGAAGCCGAAAGAAATGAGTGGACCATGTGTTGTTTCCGAGAAGAGTTGGAAAGAAATACCGTGGTGCAATAGAAAGAAGGGAAGATCCTAGAAAATGTAATCAATCATTGGTTATTAACAGATCGGGAGAGGCTGGTTGGTGAAGAGTTATCACGTCAAGGTATACTAAAAAGTGGGTTAAGCACCGCATGGGCTTGATGATCTTAACTACGACCCTTTTGAGGAAAAGACAAGACTTTAATTATAACCGCGGGTGTTTGTTCTACCTACGCCAAACAAATCTCAATCTCCAATTACTATCTAACCAAAAAAAAGACAAAGGCGGTATCACGCTATTATAATGACACTGGTGCGAAGAAAAAATCTTGGCAACGAGGTAAAACCCAGAAGGAATCCGTCTGATCCAACTAATTCGGAGCAGCGAATAGAGTTCAATTTTTTTTTTTTTTTTTTTGAATATTATATGGCATAATAAAAAAATGATGTTTATGAATTGCGCAGTTGAAAAAAAATATATCCTCATTGAGACATCAATTGATACAGGCTCCAATGCAAATTGCATTAGCCATAAGCATATCTCGGAATTAGGGATTGCATATTAATAACATTAAAACTCCAATCGCACCCTATTCGACACTATGAAAGGTTAATCCGCATATTAGTTTCAATGATAACGTAGATGCATAAAGTTCACCCGGAGAATTCATCGGTCTCGAACCGGATTGGCTAATTATTAGCATTGGAAGTGCCATGGTTTCGAGAAAATGGTGTAACTTTGGACATATGTAACTCAAAACTATGATTTTGCGTTCCCATTCGTGTACTGTGCGATAATTTTTGTTAAGAATATGAGTGTCGGCAAAGGAAAACCTCGAACCGGTATATTACTCGATAAACTTGGCCCCTAAAAAATCATAGTTTTCTTGTTGCGTGTGTTTTTCGCCAAAACAATATTGATTTTACCAGAACACGATAACGATAAGTTAACGTTAATAAGAAATTTTTTTTTTTTTTTTTTTTTTTTTTTTTTTTTTTTGCTATAATCGAAATTAATTGTATACGTGTTTTATTTCATCGTATGTCACTCATCGGGGACAAGTTCTCCGAATAATATGCCGGTTCGAAGTTTTTCCCCGCCGACACTCATGGACAACGAGGAAAGACACAATTAATTGCGTTGATCGAATGGATGATAATTCAAAAAAAGAAAAAAAAAATAGTTGATCTTGTAATGCAGCCATTTTAGGAAGGAGGTATTAAATGCGTTTTCAATGGATTATGCTTAGCCAATACTAAACATGTGTATACTTATATAATATTTAATTTTTGTTTCTACGACTCTTTTAAATTACATAATATTACATAATATCCTATATTACATAATATTACATACGTATTATATGCAAAAAAGGAAAAATAAAATCTAGAACATGTGTCGTGAGGAAAACGTCAAATCAGCTGTACTGTACGTGAAATTACGGGGATTTACAGTTCCGGAGGAAACCGGCAAACTTTAATTTGTGATCTATTATTAACCTAAAAAAAATTTTTTTTTTTTTTTGATTGTCAAAAGGTTTTCGTTTGTGCGGACGCGGGAATTTCTAACCTCAGATAGAATTATCTCACGGGGTAGTAATAACTGATTTGAATTTCAAAAATAAAGTCCCAATGAATTTCACGAAAATCAATTTATCACGGCTCCTACTTTTAAACAATAGGTACACAATGTAAATATTTTAGGATCACAATTATAGTGCATGCATGCCATCGCACTATGTATGTGTATGGCACGTGATATAACTACCACCTCGGTAATAAAAAAATTTAATAAAAAATTTTTGGTTTTCTTTAAGGAAATAAATTTTTTGTCCATCCCCAATTACATAATTCGAATGGTTTTCCATCCACAATTACATAATTCGAACGTGTTTTCATCTCCAATTACATAATTCGAACGGGTTTTTAATCTCTAATTACATAATTCGAATGGTCGTTTTTTTATTATAAATACTCGCGAATTGTTACTATCCCTTTTCTGAAAACAAAACAGCAAAGAGATATTTTTTTTTTAAAAAAAAACAACAACCACCATTTGCTTCTACAAAATGAATTCGCTTAAATTTTTATTCCTCAGTTTTTTCATTGCCACGGCAATTGCTCAACTCACTATCCCCATTTTACCAGATGGAACCAAAAATTATACGGTTGTCGGTGGAAACGGTGTAAATATTTATGTAGAAGTAAAAGGAGACCCATCGAAAGTCGCATTGGTGCTTTGCGCTCCAATAATGTCACCACGTCTTAGCTGGGAGGTGCAATTCAATGATCCATCGCTTAATCAAAATTTTTATCTTGTCAGATATGATTATCGAGGAACCGGTAGAAGTGATAAACCACAAGACCTTAATGCGTATAGTACCGACTTACACGTCTTGGACCTTAACGCCGTAATAAATAGTGTAAAATCCAATAAAATAGTTTTGGTTGGTTCGTCTTTTGGAGCGTTGGTTTCCATTGGATCCATGAACACCACGAAAGTTACTGGATTTATATCAGTCTCTGGAATTTACAATGGCAACATCCCATTTTTTACTAATGCTACCGCTCCATCGGATGTCTATCAAACGGCCATTGATCAGTATAATCAAGGTTTTCCCTTTCTCACCGCTACACCTTTGTCCGATCAATTCAATCAATTTTTGTTTGGAGAACTTTCTAAATTGAGTCCTTATTATCGTCATAATACAAGTCCCAGTAAGTAAACATGTGCATACCTTAATATCTTAACAAAAATATGAACTCACATTTTATTATTTAATTGCAGTTCCAGATTATGGCAGTATTTTTAGCAGTTTAAGTGTTCCAACATTATTTCTTATCGGTGATCAAGATTTAATTATTCCAGCTAGCTATAGTAAAACGTTTGTAAGCCTTGCGCAGGATGGGAAAACGATAACTTACACTGGCGTTGGGCATTCACCACAATGGGAAATCTATCAAACTTTTAACAATGATATTAGCAAATTTGCTAATAGCCTTTAATATTTAGTATGACCCCTGACGTCTAGACCCCCCGGGGTTCGGCAAATTAAACAAGACCTCATCCTTTTTTAGTAATTCGTAATCAATTATCTTTTTAAAGTATTTACTATATTTCCTAAAAATAATTTACCCGAAATGTCACACGCAGATCATTTTTTATTAAATAAATTTGGTGCAACATTAATTGTACCTCTCCATTTGTAACATTTGTAACCATCACGTTTAAATTTGCCTGTGCGATCGATGTTTTTCCTCACTAGATTCGAAAAAGAGCGTGAGTCCGGTCCGAAGGATTATTATTTCCTTTGCTTCACTTTCTCCCGACGAATTTTAGTTCGGTGCGACAAAATAAATGATGTCTAACTTTTTCACCTATGTATATGATATAGACCGCCGCGCAAATAAAATTCCTTTTCCCTCCTATCCTCATTAATTTGCACCAATAAATTTCGCAAAAAAAAAGAATACTAAATAAGCCGAAACCATGCCTATCACTTTGCCTTTCCTCGTCAAAGGAAATAAGACCGCAAACACTTTCGTCATTGATATTGATGGTGAAAAATTTGTTGGCCATCCCAAGGAGGTTATAAAGGCCAAAAATGTATGAACTTTCGCTAATACAGTATATTGACACCAAGACATACAGTAAATCTTTGGAATGCGAAGGCCCCTGGCGATCGTGACGATCAATTGCACTCGAGGACAGTGACAAGCCATTGGCAATAAGAAAGATTTCGAAATACTTCCCTGTCTCATTTCCTGAGGGACATGTTCATGTTGTTGTCTCTCCACCAAATTCGAGTCGTGGACAGAGATTACTTGAGGAAGTCGCCTCGTTGAAGGCATTATTCGACAAGTCTTTCCATGGCAAGTAGATCAGACACTATTAACCGTTACTGAATTGTAGACTTCGACGCCGTCATCCACCCGAAACGGGAGGCAAATAAATATCGAACCCAAAGTCCCCAAAGATTATATACATTGCATAACATGTATCAACGTGTTAAATGACAGTGAAGATACTTCCTTCGTAACGAACAAGACCTTCGTTTACTGTGTCCATAGAAATATTTTCAAAAGCCTTTTCATATCGGTCATTCCAAGCTGTGTCAGGTTTACGGACTCGCCGAATCAGATTATCCTTAATTATCTGTATTTCAACCTTTCACTTGCGAGTGCAAAGATCTGAAGATGATTCTTCCCACGTAATACTTTGAAGTATTATAATCGAACTGGAGGCCCGTCTCAAGTTCATTCCAAGCAATGAAAATGAAGCATCGAAATTATAATAGGTGTGTTCTTACCTTGTTGCAGGTGTGAAGGGAGGTTCTGAGCTTCGACCATAAAAAAACATCACAGGACCTAATGGTCAGGGACCGTCGATTTTGCAATGGATTTTACTTTACTAAAAATTGTCGGAGTGACAGAAGTAAAGGACAAAAATTTTTACAAGGGCATTGCTCAGAATGCCGTTCGGCTCGAGCCCGCTTTATCAAACCGTAAATGTAAGGCGTGTTCGTGGATAAGGTATTCGGAATTGTCACAGATGCGGAAAAGTGGTATTTTATGAAATGTTCATCGATGATCAAGACAAGGTTAAGATTCAAAACTATCGGAGCCGGTGGTCGTTGTATATAAGGAAGAGAATATGGAAAACATGGATAGGAAAGTTCTCGGGCATATTGTAATGGTTGTTGGAAAGATACAAAAACCGAATTCAGATTCACGAAAAGAAAGAGGCTAACAAAAAAATCATAGGTCATCACGTAAAGTCGGGTTAGATGATCGTGTATATAATGGCATAGAAACTTCGTCATGTACAGTATACCGGGCTACTCCCGAAATTTATATTTATTTTTGCATGTTTAAATATTTTTATGGCGCCATCGCTGAAATTCTGAAATAGAAAGCAAAATAATTACTGCGCCCTCACGACACGCGTGTCGTGGAAAACCATTTGATAATAAAAAAAAAAAATTGTGTCCGTTCTAGAACAAAAAAAAATTTTTCGACTTTAAGTGATTGGCGCATTTAATCAAATTTTTTTTCCAGCATTACAACCAATCATACATCAACGCATATACCTGATTAATGAACTGGATATTCATTTACCTTTCTTCCGTCTATATTAAATGGAGTTTAAAGTATAGGGTCAGTCATAGTCTTTGTGGCAGGCCTTGGATCCGACATTTACCATGCAAAATATCGCATTTCTTATTTAGACTAAAGAATAATCTATTTTTTGTGTTGATAAGACGGTTAGCCTTTGTTATTTACATGGTTTCGGAACACAACGGAGCCAATTTTTAATCCATGTTTTGATCAAAAGCGATTTGTTTGTTCCGCAAGAAAAATTTGTAATAATACGGCCGCAGAGCGATCGCCTCTGGCAAATATACATATCAATAAAGATGTCTTATTTCGGATGTCTGTAAAGCAGGATATTCTGTATATAATATGCGAAGATTAAATGATCTGAATTTTCTCATGTTTTTTTTTCCGCCACTTTAATCGTAGTAATATCCAGCGTCATCATCAGAGAAACCGCAATATTCACCAACATCGTTATCATCATCGGCTTCGTTGATATCATCGGAGAATTCATGATTATTATCCACATCTTTATCGTCATCATTATTTTCATTATCCTCATCGTTATCAGAGTATTCTGTATTTAACTCTGTCTTAAACCTTAAAGAATTGGAGATTTGAGTCGCATTATTAGATGCAGGCAGTTTCTGTAATACTGGGAATTTCGTATCTGTCATATTAATAAATCCGGCGGCCTTCATGAAGAACGCATTACTAGCATTGATGGTATTTACTGTAATTTATGCATTTCAGATCATATTAAGATCAAATTAATAATAATTATAATATCTATTAATTCAATAAATAAATGTTTTTTAATAATAAAAAACAAAAATAATTGATATAAAATTTATTTATTCCGATAGAATGTATAAAAATATTTATATAATTTCATTTGACATTTATTATTCTCGCATGCATCCTCCTTTTGCCTTTATTACATTTTTTTTATTCTTTGCGTCATTGTCTCACACGTTTATTTTATTTGGATCTTTGTGAAATACATTCGGAGTATACTGCATCCGTGTTATAAATTTGAATTTTAAAGTTTTTATGCTTTATTTCTTAGATGTTCTATTGAATTTACAATAAGTCTAAAAGTTAAAAAGTCATAAAAAATCTTAACAATAGTTTTTTTTTTAAATTATTTTTATCATAAATTTTAAATCATCATTATATTAAAAAAATAAATTCTTAAAATTTAAATTATTATAAAAAAAAAAAAAAAAAAAACTGATTTTCCTACTTTATAAAAATTTTATTTTAGTAATTTTTTTCTTTATTGACTTTATATAGAATTGTGTTAATAAACAAACTATTATATGCTGATATCACATAAGATTTTTTTATTTGCTTTGTATATTAAGAGAGTATCTTGTTTGAAAAAGTATAAATAAACCTGAACTTTGTATATGATAGTAGTTTGAGATAAAGGAAACATTTTTTAAGGTTAAGAAACACTTTTGAAATAAGACTTTATATATAATCAAGTCATTATAAACGAATATATATTTATTTTTATTTTTTTTCAATTCTTTAATTTTTTTCTATCACTTTTTTTTTATTTCTTTATTTATATTCTCTTTATTGATAAATGGCTTTAAAAGTTTTTTTTTCTAAACCTTTTTTTTTTTTGTTAAATATTTATTCAACTTTCTGAATTATTAAAACCTTTATTTTAATTAAATTGATGACTTAACTCAAAAAAAAAAATTCTAAACAATATTTCTTTAATTAAAAAAACTAGATTTATTAATAAGAAAAATAATATTTTCAAAGCTTTAAACATACTTTTTTATAATTACTAATTGTTTATTAAATCTTTTGAATAAATAAACAGTAATAATAATTTTTTTTTTGTATACTCATAGTCAGGCTAGATTGTCAGTTTATTAATTAATTAAAAACATAAGTATATTTTCATTCGAGCAGCATGCATGATACATACTACAGCTAAACTTTTATCATAATATAACTAACTTGTTGTAAGCATAATAGCCTCTAAGTTTAGTCTTGGGGACAATATTTTACTTTGCAATATCTTTAGATAAAGACCCTACTAGTTCACTGCATCATTGCCAGCAGGTTGTTACTGCCATATGTCGATCTAAACTGCTAAAATACAGGAAACTACAAAAGGATAGGTTGAAAAAAAGATAGAGATATTTAAAAATGTCTAAGCAGATCATAAGAAAATGAAAAGATAAAAATTGAAGAAAAAATTATTTCCAGTTTTCTCCAAAGACCTGCTTCTCAAAACCTCTTCTCAATAAGAAATGTATGATTGGGATATCTTTTCTTTTCCTGATTATCTGAGGAACTTATTCATTCTTGATCTTAATTTCCTTCTCATATACTATTTGAGGAGACATATCGCCTAGTGGAAACTTTTACTTTCAGGACACACTTGATCACAACCTTCTTTGGACAGTAATTTTTTATTTACCTGTAATTAAAAGGTAACTTACAATGAACCCTAGGTTCTTATGTAACATAGTAGAAACTGGGTTATATTATTTCAGTATGATACCTTCTAGCAGCCATACCTAGTTAAAGAAATTTTACTTGTGTATATTTTCTATTGCCCAAAATAATTATTCTTTAAAGATCTTTGTGCTTTACAATGGTAGGAGGGTACCAGAAGAGCAGTAGGGATCCTTGTCAATTGTGATATTCTTTAACAACTTCTGGAAAAATGCATTCTCAACTATAACTAATGATGGGTCCCTAAAGTATTTAGCATATAAAATTTTGCAGATCACTTACAGTATGTTCTTTTTTGAGGGACAGAATTCATAGCTCTTTACTTTAATAGAGACAAAAGTCAGAAATACTATAAATCAATGATTTAGATAATTGAGAAACAATTGTGGGTAGTTTTTTTATAGTTATTAATTTAAAAATTTTAATTTTTCATAGTGAGGAACATTTGATTTATGTCCCTGCCTCCCCCTTTAGGGACCCATCTTTAACTATAACCAAAGAGTTGAAGCTTAGCATGGACTAGAGACTGTTCAGTTTTATTGTCTAACCAGAATAAAAAGAAGACCTTGGTCTTGAACTTTGCCTGACTGGAATAATAGGAGAGAAAGATCTCAGCTTGAATAAATAGCAGCTTTTTCATCACCTGGGACTTGTTTCTCATATTTTGTTGGTCTCATGATACTTGATTTGTAGATTAATCCAATTGAAAGAGTGGGGTGGACACAGGATACCAATCAACTCTTTCTATCATCAATGACGTCATCTAAACACATGAGGTAACCAATAAAAGCTTGTTTATATTCAGTTACTAACATGTTTCTCATCAACCAATCAAAAACCTGATATTTTTGTGCTACTAGAAATTCAAGGTCAAATTGAGGTAGGTGAAATTCCACAAGAAAAATTATGAAAAACAGTAAACACTTTAAGAGGATCAAAAAGACTTGAGAAGGTGAATAATAAACCTTCCCCTGCCGACAAAACCTCTATTACTGTCACTTCAGCTCTATAAGGTGACACTTCACTTGTTAGTCTTTTTATTTTCTAGAACCTTCTTGCCCTTAATATAGGAAGTGCATACTTGGGTCTTTTCAGATTACTAGAGACTCAAGTTTTTATTTAAAGGAGTTTATAAATAAGTAGGGGAGAGTAAGGAAGATACATGAAGACAAGTTTCAAGTTATTTTAATAAAAGTGTAAAGACTTTATTAATAAAGAAGTATAAAACTTCTTGTAAACATTTTTTTTGTGGGTAGTTAGAGAATCAGCAGAAAAAGTCTTATAAACAGTAATAATAATATAAATTTCAATTAATAATATTAATTATATAAAATTTTGCTTTACTAAAAATCTATACTATTAATTGTATAATTGAAAATAAATATGTTGATCCTCTGATTACACACAAAAAAGATGTTCGCAAGAAGTTTTTGCACTTTCTTGTTCATAAAGTCTTAATACTTTTCTTAAAACAACTTGAAGTATAATTTCAAGAGTCACTTTTATTTTTTTCCTATTGTCTACAAACCTCTTCACTCAAAAATTTGACTTCTAGTGACCAATAAAAGTCAAATAATACCTTTAATACCAATGGCAAAAAAGTTTCTAAAGAAAGAAAAACTGATTGTGAAATACCTGAAAGTCTTTCTAACCTTTGAAGCAAGAGGCTTATAGAAATTTTTTACAATAAAAAGGTTTATTTTCTCTCTTTTTGACTGTTTTGGTTTTCTTAAAACTCTCATATTTATGGTTTTCTAAGGAATTTTACTTATTTTTGTTTGACCCTAAATTTTGAGTAGTACAAATTCTCACTAAAGATGATTGGTTGACATAAAACACATTAGGTTTTGAAATGTAAACAAGCTTCTATTGGTTACATTCACATGTTTCGATATATCATTGATAATATAGAAAAGAAAGTTCTAGAAAAAGTGTTTTCTCCAATTGTATATATTCAACCTTTAGGAAACAATTAGGATACTGAAAGACAAATACCAGATAGGAATAAAAGATCTAACTCCTATCTCTTATTAAGTTTCTCAGGTGGTAAAAAGACTTTCTTGGACAAAAGCTGAGGTCTCTAAGCTTCTATTTTGATCAGACAAAGTTCTTTAAAAGATTTCTTTATCCTGGTCAGATAAACTCTTTTGTAATAATATAGCACTGACTTTAATAGCATTAAATGAATCTATACATCAGCAGAAAAATAAGTTCTTCAAACATTCTTCTTGAAATCACTTTCAAGAATATATAAGTTTCTCAATGTTATTAAGCTTAAAGAATATTCCAATTAGGTAAACCTTTTTCAAAAGGAAACTGTAAATGGAGCAAGAATCTTTTGAAAAGCTTTGTATTGTATCTCACTTTTTCCTTTTTTTCTAGTGTCAACTTTAGCAATTTATCATTTTTTGAAATAATCAATAGTGACAAACTATTGGCAATGATCCTGATTGACTTAGAGACTCCATGCCAAGCTACTAGAAGAACATAATATTGTTTTCTAAATTTGACTTAAAGTATCTAGTTTAGACTTGATTTTGTTTAGTCTAAACTAGTTTAGTAGACTCTTCATATTTTTTAAATAGTGTAGTTCTTTAACTAATAATGTATAATAATAAGTTATTCTACTTATATAAATATATACTTTATTTTCTTAAAAATTAATAAAATACTATTTAACTACAAGTAATTAAAAAAAAAATCAATTTTATAAACAATATTAAATAAATTATAAATATAAATAATTTTTTTGCAAGTTTTATAAAATAGTTGTTGAATAGTTTTTGAATTTTTATTATTATTTAATAAATTATTTAATAAATTATTAATAAATTTTAATAAATTGTTAATAAATTTTTAATTTTTAATAAATTATTAATTATTTATTATCAAATTATTAATAAAATACTAATAAATTAATAAAAAAAAAACTCTTTCCACTGATCTCCATTTTTTCAGAAAAAAATTTTTTTTTGATAATTTTTGAAAAAAGATAAGTCAGCCAAAAAAACAAGAGAAAACCAATATCAAAGACTATTCACTTACAAGAAACACTATAAAAAAAAACTATAGAACTAACTAGTTATAGTACAGAAACAGATAAGTATCAAAAGACTTTTAACCTTTCTATACAAAAATTTTTTTTTTAGAAAGAACAAACAAAAATAAAAACCAAATTACAGTAAGCTTTTGGAAGCATAACATCAACCTCACAAAT